GTACGAGATAGATCCAAATTTGATTCAAGGAGACTTAACTTTTCCTAAAGACAAGAGGAAAAAGGACGAAGTACAATGATTGATACTTACACGTAAACAAAAATTGGTTTGGCGCAGTACTTCGACTTTGTAAAAGGTTGCATCCTCGTACTCACGAATGATTCTACTTTGTTGGTAGTTGTCTGTCGCCTTCTCAAGTTCGTTTGCACTCAATGTTCTACAAATCATCCCAGCGAAATAGTCCATTTTGACCACTCCCCGCAAGTCGCTAGCCTTGAGAACAAGGGCTTCAACATGACCTATTGCCTTAGCAGACTCGGTTGCCAAGAGTAATACGTCTCGAAGATATAAGACCGACAATGGCCAACGTAGAAGTACTTCTCCACATACTTCTCCTGCACCTCGAGTTGGTTGCTGCAAATTATCATTAGAAGAAGAAGAACCATCTCTCTTTTCAATGGATACAAGTCCGTCCACAATGAATACCATCATTCCAAGTGGTTTACCCTTTTCAATGATGATAGAATTGTCATCAAACTCCCTGGGCTTAAGACACCCAGAAATTCTTCTCAACACACGTTCATCTATGTTTTTCAAAGTTGGCACCTAGAAATAGAATGAATTAATAAATACATACATCTTATCTTAGAAGAATACAGAAAGAATACTAATTACAATATTGTTAGTCGCATCTCTCTGAATCTCAAGTGATGTGTGCCTGGATCTTGGTGTTTTGTGAGATTCATATATGGCAATGGCATGGATGTTCCTTAATTTTCATGCTTCTCGTCTTCAATCATAAATAACCTTTTATTTAATTATTTAATTATACTAATTTTAATTAAGGATGTGTTGTATTATAAACTAAGGATGTGTGTTGCTATTTTGAAAGTTTCACAACTATATCTCTCCCCTTAGAGATTGTACAAATCAATCTGTTAGTTTTTGTTTAATTACTTGTTTTACAGATTTACTCTTATTACTCTTTGGTTTACAAAATTCACCCACGTCTCACTCTATCCTTATATAACACTGCATAAGTAAACAAGTTATTATTAAATGTTTATTTGGATGGATGACACAAGTAATATCAATTTTGATATATATAATTGTCCAATATAGATCCCTATATTTTCTATTTCCTAGACATATACCCATCACTCTATAAATCTATGTGTAAAACCCAATTTCAAATTTAAATGACTAGTAGGATATAAGAGGTCGTAGTATTCCTATATTTTTTACATCATTGCCACCAAACTTCATATTTTATTTATAATTTATTTCAAGCATTTCATTAACTGTCATAATTGTAATTA